CTAGCATCAATATTTAACGAGTTATTGACGAAAAACGAAAAAACAGTTTTTTGCAAATTACTCGTTAACTATTGACGCTAGCGAAATATTTTTACATGGAAATTGTAGATCTCGTCGTCCTCTACAAGAAAGGTCTTATGCAATTTTCTTGTAGGTCAAACGGTTTAGGAGTAATTGAGGAAAAACGAAATTTTTTGCCAAAAGTTCGCCGTTTTGACGCTGGGATGGTCGGATTTTGTCAACATTAATAAAATGCCAAATAATCATACGTAACTCGTTAAATATTGAAGTTAGAAGGAAAACAACTTTTATTTGAAGCATTTTTCGCAATTTTGAAAAAAAAAATTTTCGTCAGCGTGAATACTTGGATATTTGGATATTTCCTTCTATACTTTTTAGCACGTAGCTATTTATTATTAGCATTGTTCTTCCGACGTCTGATTTCTTTTTAATTATAGGAAATGCGTTTTTCTAAGGTACATAAACTTTTGGGATTGACTGTATAGCCAATACATCCTTAAATATTTCCGAGTGCGAACGCTGTTAGAGTTATCTGGTGTACAAGAGTCCTGTCTTTATGCACGGCTTATGATAGCATAACTCGAGCCGATAAAAGGATCAATAAGATGTATACGAGAGTTTATGGTAAAGGCATCGAATGAGATGCGGCGCGGTTACGATGATAATGATACCGCGATTTTATCACCCCGTGTGGTATAGAAGGTCATTGTTGTATTTAGATAATTTCCGGCTTTTTCTTCAAATCCGATCATTTATCTATGGTCATTGTGAGAAAGAATTGCAACAGAAATATTCCGCGTCACGGTATCATTTGCTTTCTGGCAAACTGAAGCGTTCAGAGTAGTTTGATCCGGTGGAAAATTCTCACCACAAAAGGAATCGCCGCATCGCGACGACTATAGTCATCGATGTGATAATATCCGAGACGCCGTTTCGTTTGATCGACGGCCATTAAATAGCCAATTGTACTTCTCTAAAACGTTCAATAACGCCGCGCTGTGACGTTTGATCGCCGCGCGTAACGTCGATTTCCTTCGATTCCCCGAGACGGGAATCCAGACGAAACATGGGAAGGGGACAGAGACGAGGGGCAATCATCAATCTCGCAGAGTTGTACTCGAGTGGCACTAATTCAGCACCCCGATCTCCTTGTCGAGGTGCCCTAAACTTCGTGTACCTCCGTCACTTAAGCAGCGTTGTACGGGAAGACAGGACCGGCCGTGCCTTTCGTTCGGTCAGGAACCAAATAAATGGCCGTCCGTACATCAATGCCTCAGAAATCGCAGCAGCTCGATCAACCTGAGTAGGTGCACCTTACATTGTCTCTCCAAGTTGGTTACGTTCAACTTCCTTCTTCTCCACTACACACAGTGTACAGACGTACACTTCCTTGCTGCACCGGCGCGGAAATAAAATCTGTAATAGGCTGCCGTCGACGCGAGTTCACTAAGTTCTCGTTCCGACTTCCTAATTTGTTCCGCGTACGGCCACTGTGAATTTAAAATAGCTACGTTCGGCGACGAACAGTTGAGAAATATTGGGACACGTGGAATCGATGATAAACGCCAAAGATAATGCAAAGTGAATTAATATTATGGCAACTAGAAGGCGTGGAAGTTGGCAAAACATAGAAGAGTATTGAATATCGGATGAAGAGTCCGCGCGATAACAGGGTTATTATTTTTACATTACCGGTACCTGCTTGATATGCGTAGATATTCGTCTACCATCCGGCAGCCGATAATTTCTAACGAAGGAGCACGGAAACGAAAGAAGTTTAAGAAGTCCCATTCATCCGGCGGCGGCGCCAAAACTGACAAAACAGTTGATACGGCCAGATATAGCGTACCGCGGAATACGAATGGACGTCGGCGGATATACGAGACGACCGCGAATAGCGAGCTCTGGAGAAGTCTTGAGCGTAGGGTGCAGGGTAAAAAAAAAAGGAGACGGAGAGGAGGGAAAAAGAGACGAACGAAAAGAGATATGAGAGGATTGTAAAAAGGAAAAAAAAAAATATCGCCGAGTAGAAAGAACGAGAGGGAATCGCGAATGGAGAAGGCGGACGGGAAGCGGGAAGCTCGGTTAGGCAGTGGTACGTGGAAAAATGTCATCGAGCGATCCTGATTTACAGCGGTAGGGAAATCGGTGGCGGCGAACTTCGGTGTCCGCGTGCTCGCGAAAAGTCAGAAATTTTTGCTCGTGGGAATCGGAACTTTCATTGACGTCCGCGGTGAATTTCTCGTGCGCGTACAACGAGAGAAATAAAACTGTGAGAGAAGGAAATGGAGCGTAGACCGCGGGCGCGAGCAAACGAGAACCGTCGGATAGTTTCGCCGACGATTTCCGTGAAGACGAAACTACGATCGGGGATCGAGAGAGTGTGATCGGAATTATTCTACCGGCGCCCGGGCTGAAATTGCTCCACGCGAACGGGTGAGCCGGTAGGATGTGTCTTTTATTAATGACCCTGCATCCACGGATAGATAGACCGGAACGAAACGCGCGTAGATTAACGAACGATTAGCAAAACAAGGTTGCACGTATCACTTTAAAGAGCTTCACCCCTTGATAACACAATATATCCGGCAAACAGCGTTTGTCTTTGATTATCATGCCGGTGTTTGCGTAGCTGTGTAAATAATACCGCGACACGCCTTCTATTGAGAACGCGAGGCCCGTTATACCCGTGGAACAAGACAAGTACCCAACTACTTTTACCCTTTGCTCTCGCTACCTGCACACCTTTCTCTATTGTTTGTTCCAATTACTCGAACCTATTGCGAAGATATTTATTTTAACGAGCAACGAAATACAGTGTACAATCCTCTAACACAGTGCCAAGGGAAATAGAGCCGACCGATGAGAAAGCAACCGGCATTATTGCGACAGCGTCAATGTTTTGGGCCCAAGAATTTTCAATTTTATATTTCATTCCAAAGCATTATATGCGAAATGAAAGCGAACCGGGCTCGCATTCAATACCGTTCGAAATATTCGTTTTACGTGCGTCGAATTGTAACTATAGCCCACAGGAAGAAAAAAGTGCGCATGTAATCAATGATATCGATGCCTCTGGTCTCAATTTACCATTAAAACTCGGACCGAAAGTTTAGTCGGACAGAGTGAAAATGGGGGAACGGACAGGTTAACGGGAACCACGTAATTCTGCCGTCAGAATTCTCCTGGCTGACCTGTAACGATTTGCGCGGCGAATAACTATGCAAATTTCCCTATAGATTAAGCGGAGACTTTTGATGACACGTTGAAGCGTTACTCTCGAGCTCCGAGAGAATGCCGTAAAGCCGTCACGGTCAAGATTGACCATCCGTGCCTCGCACCAAACTGTCCACGCGTTTTAGAAGCGAACGCAAATTTTAGGCTTCCTCCCATGCATCCCGCATGCGATCGACGTACGCGTCCCACATGGAATAGGACTCGATGACGCTTAGAATGCACGAGATTGGCAAACAGAAATCGTGGTAATAGATTCGTAGCCCGTATCGTCGTTGAATTACGTGAGTGATAATAGAGTAGAGATTAACTGCGATCTAATCGAATTCTCTGATCCAATTACGCGTTACTAGACCTTGTCTGATCGAGCTAATGATCCTGACAAAGAAATTCTGGCACGTCAAGTGCCTATCAGCTCTACCCGTATGTGTAATCGTGTCGCCCTTTAATTGAATTTCTCCTCGTGATCTATCCGCAGTACAAATAAACACTTTTCACGAATTCCTGTGCTCATTCGATCGCTAACAAATTAATTTATGAAAACATGCTATGGACGAGGGCTATTTCGATTGGCATTTTATAGAATAACACGTGTGAGAACAAGTTTTGCTTGCAAACAGAAGGGAGTAACTGTTTGAAACATACGTAGTGCGAATTGGTCTCTGAATGCGTATGATCTCGAGTGTCAGCACATCAATTACACCTTGACCCGCCATCCATCTCGCAATGTCATCCGTTACATACGCACACCTCATATTTCCACTCGGCGTGGCGCATTCGAGTGCTTACGCCGACCGAAGCGTGTCGATAGGTCAATCGTTCTAATTTCGATCTGGCAGCCACCGACCGTAAATCTGTGTCGCGTAAAACTTGCCTAAAACCGGTCGAAATTGTCCTCAATCCGATCCGCGTGCTCGCATTTAAATATTTTAAGGAATTCAAATCCTATTATTGCACCCTGGTAAATATTGAGCCAATCGAAGTACCAATGGCGTCAATTAATTTGCTCGACGGCAAAAGACCGCGGGACGAGATTTCGCGAAATGAACGATAATAAACGACGAAACGTTTAGCGAATAGTTTTAGCAAAGCTTGTGTACAACACTCACCGTGTGCGGTGACCAATGGTGCGGCCAGGTCTTAGTCTCGTGACTGCTACCGACGTTTGGTTGACTCGCTAAAAAGACGACGCGCCTATCAGTGCTTCCGGTTCCAGCGCCGGTGGTTGTCAAAAGCGCTGCTCTCGCCCTCGAGCCACCGATACTCAACGTCGGCGACGTATCCATGTTGACCTGGAATCGAAATTAAATCCGAGATATTAGACGTGTTGTTGCATTTTATTAGAGCGGGACAAGATCGATCTTTGACGAAAATCGATTCGATACGTGTCCAGAGTAAATATGGTAAAAATTGGCCGAGCGAATTTGAATCGCTCCCGGGATGTTTGACCACGGGAATGAAACCATTCAAATAAATTCAACCTGTTTAATGAAGCCTGTTATATGTAAGATGAATACTCCCGAAGGAAACCTGTAGGAGGTATGCATCTTTCAACCATAGAGACGAGATATTCTTCATTCTTTTTATTCATCCGACTCCCGGTGCGCGAGTAATTTCAAGAAATATTAGACTAGTTTGGCAGTAATTTCTCCGTTAGCGGATGAAAGTAACGAGTACGTCTAGAGCGCATAATTACGGTAAAGATAATACTCGACCGGGAAGGTTCGTTGAAATTTTGAGAGTTTCATGTTTCGATAATTCCTACGTAATCTATAATATAATTAATTGCGACTTCGAGCACGCTCGAATATTATGCTTGTACATATATAATGCATATTGGTTTTACTAGGGGAACTTGTTATCGCTCGCTCGCGAAATTACGGTTAACGACGGTATTACAATGGTTCGACGCGGGGCACAATGCGGCTCGGTTCATGTTTCTCATCCTACTTCTCCTCGCCTCTTCTTCGTTCGCTTCCTCTGTTCACGTTGCTCGCCGATGCTAGACGACCGAAAGAAAACAATCTCTTCCGGCGAAAATTTCCACCGGTAAATCAGCGGCGAGGCTAAAAAATTGCCGTGAAAGGATCGACTCGTCGTTCGAGACTCTGTGATTCGAGAGCTACGGCTGTCGTGTCTTCCATGAAAGAAATCCGACGAGCGTAATCGAGCTCGTTAGCTCGAGGATGAAAGCTCATCGTGCCGCGGGAAACGCGGAAAGCGGACGAGCGGAGAGAACCGCGCCAAGGACCGACAGAGAGAGAGAGAGAGAGAGGGCGGCCATCGGAGAACGAAGACGAACGGAGACGAGATGGTGGGTAGATAGGTAGTACGTTTTTCAGTGGGATTTACGAGTCGTCGACGGGCATTAAAGAGAATGATGCGCGGCCACGACCCGGCCAGACACGCGACGCGAAAGTGTACGATGTAAAAAGAGGTGGGTCGAATAAAGAGGCGACGGAAACGAAAGCTCGAGGCGCGAAGAAACCGGTGAGAAACGAAATCGACCGCCTCGAGCCTAAGGGTTTATAAGATGCTCTCGCAAAACTGACACGTACCCGTTAATTAAATCTCGCTGGATCCAGTTGGCGGGCAGGAAGGATCGCGGCAACGAACGTCTCGGACGATTTGCAATTTACGCGAAGGGACACCGTGCGACCTGGATACGCTCGGGGATAATCTCTGTGTCTGTGCTCGGCAAGCCGACGAGTTTCGGATACGTTCACCCCGCGATCCCTTATCATCCGCCGCGGCGCACTTGAACCGAGTGTAATCCTTGAAGTCGCGTGCACCTAATCATTCTAGCTAGGGGAGGGTGGGTGTCCGCTAGGTGTTCCTTAAATCGTTCCAGCACGACGTTCGCTCCTCCTTCGCGCAATTACGAGTCATTACGATCGGGATTCCACCTTGTAGTCTCGTATCACACACAGGATGCTTTTGTTGCTGATACCGGTACAGGCCGATGTCCAGCTATTTGCGGACCATCAACGAACTGACCCCCCGACGACGAAGATAATGACGATCGGTAAAAACGACCAACGACGATGATGAAAGCCAGAATATTTTACGTTCCCCCCAATCGACGTGAAAGGCGCATCGCTGATCGCGAATTTCGTTTCCGAATTTCAACAGCGAACTGACAGCGATATTGTTTTGGACAGCCGAAAACTTGAATTTGATTTTAATATACCCTCGCATAAACAGAGTAGCAATTTACCAACCGAATCACGATTATCATTGTTCTCCCGTTAATGGGAAAATTACTACCACGACTCGGTTTAATCTGTCAGAAAATTTATTCTACCATCCTCGCCCCGCGAATACAACGCCGACTACCGATTTTAATTATACCAACGCGTTATCATCAATCCCCCAGGGTGAATTTACTCCTCTCTCGCCCCTTTTTTCCCAGTTCCTGCAACGTTTTTTCCCAACCCACTCGCATGGGACCGGTCGTTTGATACTACGCAAAGCTGTCGAGCCGTCATCGATGCGCTGCACGTTGCTCAATTCGTCATTTGAAAATCATTCATAATCGACGGAGGAAGTGGAGAATTTGATTAAAAATAATTCTCAAAACAGAAAAACGGCGCCTCGTTTCGTACCCCCGTTCATGATTCACCGACGATTCGATTTTTGCACCTTAACAAACGACAAGATTTTACAACCATCTACTCTTGTATCTACTATCGTGCTCGTCTATAAATCGAAACGATCGACTCTGTACGTGGAAGCCCGACACAGCCGAAGGTTGGCAAGCGCCGCATACGAATTCGCGCACGACACTGAGCCGCCAGGACGTCTACCGCTGGAGGTGAGCCTCTCGCGGATTCGCGGGCTCACGTGTGAAATTCTTGCGCATGCACCGACGCCTTCCTCCCTTCCAAATTCCCCTCTTTCCTTCGCTAACCGATCTCTCTTCACCCTCCCACGACGGCCACCATCTTTCTCTTTTCCTTGCTCCGTTAAACGCTCTCCGTCCCGTTCCACCCCCCCCCTCTCCCCGTCCTATCTCTTATCGTGGCCTCTCGCTGTTCTTTTCCCTCGAACTACGTTGCACCCTCGCCCTTCCAGCCCCTCGGTCCTTTCTCTCCCTCGGCTGGATAAGCTCCTCCGGATGGCATCATGCAAGCGACAAGTATCTAGTGTTAGTCCAGCTTGGCATGGAACTTGGGCGAGTATTTCGCCAAGTAAATTCGACTAGATTGACGAAGAAAGGATGGCCGCGATAAACATCACGGGTAAACGTCGTCGTGGGTTTCTGTAGAGATAATTTGGTGAGCGTTTCGTTGGCCAAGGACATACGACTACGCGACGGGGCAAATCAGCTCCGTGGGTCAGGAACGTTTGCCGTGTCCCTTTTGAGATTCACCGTTTCATTGTACCTCTGAAATTTCGCGGACGTGCATATAGTACAGATTTTCATTTAATTTTGTATTAATTCCAGGATATCGACTTTGTTTGTAAATTCTCTCCAAATGTTGTCTGATTAAATATACACGCCGCGTAATGAAACAACACTGCACTACCTCCTGGGATTCCTGTGGTTTGTTATATTCATTCGCTGCGATCATACAAAAGAATCAGTGAAGAGATTATCATTCATACTTGTCTCTAATTGTCTTCATTAGCATAATACACGGGCCAGGGAGAATAAGTTTCGGTATAACTTGGTTCAATAAAAATTTCCCGTTCATCCTCGAACCGCGTTATTCCGTCGCGTGCGTCGCGCGTACTATTCGAGCCACTCTTTAAATAATGACCGTTAATACTGCCCTGATAAAATAGATTGTCACCTAAACAAGGAAATTGCGAGCGGCAATATTGCGACACTTGCCTCTCCTCATAGCCGCCACGACTTTTTCCCCGGCTTCCTCTCCATAAACTTCCCGTTTTCACACCGGTCGCACTACGAACCATACCTGCTACAGCTTCCTTCCTTCCTTCCACATTATCATCCCCGTTTTACTTTCCCACACCCGAAGTCAGGCCGTTATATTTGCGGCGGATCGTATCTCCTGGCTTAGTAAATTCTATCCCGATTGAATTAATTCTAGAAGAAAGAGGCACAAATTATCCGCAACGTGCGAATTACTTTTTCCTCGCGGCGAAGACACAGTATCATCTTATCAGTAGCTTTACCGAAAACATGATATATCCTCTTAGAATAAAGTGAGCACACGACTATACGAGCGTCCTATTGTGTCCCGTTATTATTCTGTCTCGACGAACGTCGTTTTGTTTAGCCATTGAATCTTTCGCAGGCACATGAATAATAATTCTATGAATCGCTCTCCGCTCGTTTGAAACCCACGTTAGTCAACAGACGCGATAGGAACCTGTTGAAAACCGCTTACGACTTCTTCCTCGTATCGTCGATCCCATGAAACGTGCACTTTGGAACGCACGGCATCGATCGATTAAATCACCGAACAAATGGTACGCGAGTAATCGGGATCAGTGATAAAAAACGGTACGGGGGCAAAGAAAAAAATTAAGCCGATTTCAACGGAGAACAATTCTAACGGAATTGAGACAATGCCTCGTTCCCAAAATGCCAAGCCGAAATGAGTACGAACTCATCGTCAGCCTGATATTTTCTCTGCCGATTTTGACCTCGTGTATTTATCGCCGTTCCACATTCGTATTTTCCGTACACGCGTTTCCCGGATGCGGGATACCTTTCCGAGATAAGGCGCAGTCAAAAAGACAGCGGAAACGATAGAGCCGAGTAGTACGAGGCAGACACATTGATTGACTGCTTCTCCTCGCGCGTCTGAATCTCTCGAAACGTGCAAGTGCCGCTCTGATAGGACAGCGAATAGATTTCACGACGAATCGAGCCCATGAACGCGGAAGCACTCGAGACCGATCGTCGGAGATGCCTCTAGGCTGCGAACGATCTTTACCGCCACGTAGCCCCACACCATTTTGCGTACGGACACGTTGAAGCATTTTATCCTATCCCATTGCTGATTGCTAGCACGAGATACGGTTCGATGGGCCAACGTCCCGATACTGCAACGATTTACCAGCAGGAAAAGTCGAATCTATACAAATGAATTCGAGACAACTTTCCTACTTCTTATAAAAATAAAATTTTCCTCGAATTGAACATAATCTGTTATCAATGGTATTCTAAAAGATCGTCGATATTAGGTTAAATATTAATAGAAAAATCTCAATGACCCAGTAACCTTTTCAATCAAGTCGCTCAGATCGGAAATACCACACCCCTGCCTCTCGAAAAAGCGATCTCATTGTTCCAGTTTAAAGTTTCCAAGAAGCTGTT